CCCCAAAACCCCAAAACCCCAAAACCCCAAAACCCCTTCAGCTTGTAAAATTATTGATAATTTAATTTCTAGAAATTTTGACACCAATCAATGGTCCTCAATCTTGCGCCTTCTTTGATCCAATACCCCTAATAATCATCATCTTCATCGTCTTCATCTTCTTCATTCTCTGTAGTATTATCCTTAATAGCATAGTCTTGCCGAGCACCACAACAGAATATGGAAAATACCTTTTCAAAGAATCCGGGTCCTCTCCAAGGGTCAGGTTTTTCTTTAAGCCTGACATCTCCGTCGTCATCCTCCCAAGCTCCTTTTTCCTCTTCAATGCCTATAAGTTTTTGTTTACAGATTCTCCGAACCAGATCTTTAAAGGCATCATTGATATTTTCGTTCGTCATTGCAGAAACATTAATGTGCTTTGGGGCATCAGAGTTTGAATCATATTTACTATCAGCATTTTTGTTATATTTATTTTGCTTTGGGTTATCAAGGAAAGTCATGTCACTCTTGTTCCCCCAGAATTCGAAGAATAGCTTATTCCCCTGATTCTTGGATTTAAGTACACTTTTGTTTGCATCATCTTGAGACCTTTTCCATATTTCGTAGTACGCCATAGCTGTTTCTAAGCTTCTCTCTTCACTAACATCGTGCACAAATACAATGCAGTGCGCATAATCAGGATTCGGAATATTTTTCTTTGATTTTGGGTTATTTATAAATTGCTTTGAACTTATTATTACTCATGAGTCTTGAGAGATTCTTTTCCATTTCAGCTTTATTTTAATCCATTATAATTCATTTGGTCCATTCTAGCTTCATCGTTGATAAAATCTCCTTTTAGTTTGGGGTGGTCGAGGGGGAAGGTATCTACTATTATAACAGGTATTTTCTCATATCTGCTTCCTTCACCTGCATCACTAATGTCCACTTCTGTTTCATATTTATATATGATATCGGTAGTCGAGTGAAATAATTCTACAAATCTGTTTGTCACAATACGGTTAATAATGGCTGTCTTTCCGGCAAAGGGAGGACCTACAAAATAAATTTGAGCCTTTTCAACTGAATTGAGCTTGGAATCTGACTGTTTAGCGTTATATTTCTTTGTTAGGGTCTTTTGAAATTCTTTATCTACATCCATTTTTATAATTTATCAATATTTAGAAATAAATATGGGGTTTTGGGGTTTTGGGGTTTTGGGGTTTTGGGG